AGTGTAACACGGAAATCTGAAGTTGCCCTTGAACATCAAAAGATGACCTGAAAAACTAAGCAAGGTACGAAGAAACAGCGAAATGAACGCTAGCAATTTGCTTACAGAAAATATGAGCAAAAAATGAGGTTTTTAAGACAAATAGCAATTAAAAGGACACTTATACCTAAAATCAGAGAAGCAACAGTTAAAATTTCTTGGACACATAATGAGAAAAGACGGTTTGGAGAATTTATCACTCATAGAAATTACTGAAGAGAAGGAGGCTGAGAGAAGAAAAGAGATATGGTAAATAAAAAGTGTTTAATAGCAACAAAAGATAGGAAAATATCTAGATTGATAATTTTTTTACGGCTTATTAACCTTTTGAAGGTAATTTAAAATCAGAAAATATTTTTAGATTCTAAGAATTTTTAGTGAGATAATAATGATATACTAATTCAAATCCTACTAATTAACACAGAATGTAGGGGGTGAAGAGATCGATACATACGTTTTCCCAAGGGTATTTGCGCGTAAATAAATATAAAGAATTCAACAGGAATTCAATCTCAGTACTCCGATTCTCATTTCCGAGCCGTTATCCATTACACCACTCGCACATCCAAACTTACAGTATCTGGTATTCCCCAGCGGTCTCTCATCTAGATAGTGACTAGTGTCGACGCCGCTTAACTTCGATGATCGAACGAGAATTGGTGTTTTAACGTGATATGGTTAGGAAGCTGTGGAGAGACATGATCGCCTGCATTCTGAACTTACATGTCAAATGAAAGAAAATTCATCTAAATCTAGTTCAATTTTGCTGATTTGTTAATATTTTCTTGCATATTCTGGGTAATAAGAGGATTTTACAGGAATACCAATAAACGTTGAAATATTAGAAATCAGTCACCATTCATCTTTGCAAATCAAATCTAGATTTGCTAAAATTATGAGCTTGAATTGCTTCCATATTTTCATTTTCTGCTGGATGAAGTTTTACACTTGAGTTTCTATTTAAATAATAATCTATTCAATAATATATAAAAAGTGTAACTTTGTATATTTATCAATCACGCAGCATAATATCCTTTTCTCCATGATGAGAAATCAATAATCGATTATGCAGCTTAATAATATTTTCTCCATGAGGAGAAATCGGTTATCGATTACGTGGCCCAATATCTCTTCCCCCATGATGAGAAATTGATAATCGATCACGCAGCATAATATCCTTTTCTTTATGATGAGAAACCGATAAATGATCATGCATCAAAATATATTCTTCTCAATGATGAGAAATCGATAATCGATCACGCAGCATAATATCGTTTTCTGCATGATGAGAAATCGATTAATGATCACGCCGCAAAATATATTCTCTATGATGACAAATCGATAATCGATCACGAAGCGTAATATCTTTTTCTGCATGATGAGAAACCGATAATTGATCACAAAGCAAAATGTCTTCTTCTCTATGATGAGAAATCGACAGTAGATCACGGAGCGTAATGTCGTTTTCTGCCTGATGAGAAATCGATAAACGATAATAATAATCTTTTCTCCACGATGAGAAATCGATTATCAGCAAAATATTTTCTTCTTCATGATGAAAAATCGACTATCGATCACTCAGCCTAATATCCTTTTCTCCTTGATGAGAAATTCCGTGGTTATATTTTCAGGAAGGATTACCAAACGCCAATAAAAAATGGCTCATGCTATCATAACAGCGTAATATCTGTTCTCTAAGAAAAGGATATCAAGCTGCGTGACCGATAAATATATAAATACCTTTGAGAACAGAACTTTTGATGGACTCGCTGTTCCTTAATCTCTAGCTGAAGCTATCAGTCACTAATGGCATGACAAATTAGAAGATAAATAATAAGTAAATATTGTGTTCAGTCCTACATATTTATTTGTCAGTTGCCTGACCTTAACCACTTGGGCATGACAAACTGTGAATTGCTGAGCGTGAGTAGTGGGGATGTATCATCGCTGGCTGTCGAGTTTGAACGATGTGGCAGCCACGGCGACTTAAGAGTCACACCTAGATTCTTGGGAACGCCCTCAATTGAGCTTCATTTGCAAAATTATGTCCTTCTTGTTTTAAATCAAAATCTGTCACCATATCTTACACATTTGGCTGTTTAGCATGTGTCTAGTACACTCTTACCAGACTGGGTGTCATAATGATTATTTTCGGCTTCATATATTTGTACCCCAGCGTCATTTTGCTGCTGTGCTGCTCCCTCAATCAATAATAATAATAGTAGTAGTAGTAGTAGGCTACGGCCATATTGACAGACAAGCGCTTGGAGAGCTATTGCCCTGATATTGCGTGTGTGCAAGTGCAGCCAACAATGGATCTTGATAGACGAATGTATCGCAAAGGGGGAGCAGAAGAAGGTACATAGATCTGGCAGGGCAAATCAGGAAAACGTACTCAGCAGCAGTTAAACTTGTTCATTTTGCGGTTAGCACACGCAGAGATATTTCCAGGAATCTTCTGCTTCCTATTGATCGTATCGATGCCTTGGAGATAGCTATCACCATTAGGATTGCTCAGGTGGCAGCACTGCTTGGAACAGCTTATGTGCTGAGGAAAATGCTGCGTCTCTAAGCTGTGAGTAGGTGCTGAGATTAGACCATCATCATGCGGCCGACACATCTAAGAGCCGGAGTTGATATCAAATCAAATAATAAATGAACCAAAACAATCTAGTCGACAATATTAGTAAAGTCAAGTGTGAAAGATCATTTAATGAAAATAATAAGTCGAGAATGTCAAGGGAAACGCTAAGGAGAATGCTAAGAGAAATGCTAAGGGAATACTAAGCAGAATGCCATTGGAAATGCTAAGGAGAATTCTAAGGAAAATGCTAAAAAGAATGCTAAGGAGAATGCCAAGGAAAATGTTAAGGAGAATGCTTAGGAAAATGCTATGGAAAAGCTAAGCAGAATGCCAAGGGAAATGCTAAGAAGAATGCTAAGTAAAATGCTAAAAAGAATGCTAAGGAGAATGCCAAGGGAAATGCTAAGGAGAATGCTAAGGAAAATGCTAAAGAGAATGCTAAGGAAAATGTCAAGGGAAACGCTAAGGAAAATGCTAAAGAGAATGCTAAGGAAAATGTCAAGGGAAACGCTAAGGAAAATGCTAAAGAGAATGCTAAGGAAAATGTCAAGGGAAACGCTAAGGAAAATGCTAAAGAGAATGCTAAGAAGAATGCCAAGGGAAACGCCAAGGAAAATGCTAAAAAGAATGCTAAGGAGAATGCCAAGGGAAATGCTAAGGAGAATGCTAAGGAAAATGCTAAAGAGAATGCTAAGGAGAATATCAAGAGAAACGCTAAAGAGAACGCTTTGGAAAATGCTAAAGAGAATGCTAAGGAAATACATGAAGTATGAAGACCTGTTGTTACTTTATTTCCAGTATAACTAGTGGTGTGAACCTTATATTAGTGGACAATAATAATAATAATAATAAAGCGATTACGCAGCCTTGTAGGCAATGGATTATTTTCCACCCTCTAACCCCTTTTCTCACATACGAAATGTTTCTAGTCTCTTATTATTCTATTGCTATTTTCATGACAAACGTTCACACACGCTATATAATTAGCTCAACAAATCCAGACTTCCACCTTTAGGCCGCGCCATGTCACGTACACGGTATCAGCTCATCTTAATTCCCTTTGTATTCCTTTGGTAAGGAAAAAGTTACACTCAGATACTTCCCCGGGACTGTCACTTTGTAAAACAGACTCCCGCTTCCCCGAACACAACAATTTTGACCTCTTTAAGCTTAATCTCAACCGTTATCTATCCTACATATCCTCATATGTATTTCTTATCTCCTTCATTTACCCGATTACAACAACCTCATTCAGTAAAGTGGCTGTTAGGCCTTGTATTCTGTGAACAATAGTGTAAATATGATAATAAACTCACTAGCCATGACTGTAATGACCTACAACTTTAATATTATTAACTGGTCCATCTTCGAGATGAACAAAGTTCAAATCAAAATTCGAACGTTTCTCTCAATCGCTTTCCCTATCCAAAATCTGACATTCATCGATTGTAACTTCCAAGAAGAGTAAGTAGTCTGAAAACTGAAACCATGAAAAAGAAAAGCAAATCAGCCTTAAAAACACCAGGGATTAATTAAAAAGAATCCGCTGAAGGTCAAATCAGAGCCAGTGATCCTGATGTAGATCAAACACGCACCAGAAAACTGAAACCATGAAAAAGAAAAACAAATCAGCCTTAAAAACACCAGGGAGTAATTAAAAAGAATCCGCTGAAGGGCAAATCAGAGCCAGTGATCCTGATGTAGATCAAACACTGACAGCCTCTGATCTCAAACCAGAAACTGAAGGATTCATAATTTCTGCTCGGCCTCAGTCCCTTCCAAAACAGGAACTACCATTTTTTTTTTTTAACATACAACGTGTGTTAGCACATGAAATACCCTGTCTTCATCAGCCGCCGACCAAGGTTAATATCACGGTTTCGGTGGCTATGGCGTGACCGCCACCCCTGGCGCCACCAGCAGCGTTTGCCACCAGGCAGGGTATGAAGATAAGCTAATTAATCGTTCCTTTAAATAAATTCTATCTGTAATGAAAGTTTCCTGAACGCGTTTGCCGTTATTGACGCGCTCGTAAAAATCGTTATAGATGACCATGTAATGTCCAATCTCCATCACAAAGATAATTGATTGGAACATAAGTCACCACAAGTTATAATTAATGAAGAGATTACCATTCTCTGGAATTTCAGCTTCAGACTGATAGTGTAATGCAGACAAATCGTCCAGATCTAATTTTGAAAAATCATGTTGAAAATACATGTCTTGCACCCATCTGACAAAAATACGCATTTGAAAACGTTTGAGAAACTAAATAAATAAAAGGACCACGAAGTAGAAGTCAGTAAAACTGGGCATTACCCGTTGTTATTTTGGGCTTAGGAAATATATATAAGGGAGCAAATTAAAATATATGACTTACGGCCACATTACACTGCAACAGCAGCTCCTATACGATCACAGAAGTTAAGCAATGTCAAGCCTGGCGAGTAACTAGATGGGTGACTACTTGGGAATACTAGGTGCTGTAAGCTTGGATGTGCGGATGGTGTAATAGATAATGTTAATCGGAGAGCCGAGTTCCAATTCCCGTTGTGTTCGTCATATTCACTTATACGAAAATACCCTTGGTAAAAGTATAAATCCATATCTTATTCCAGCCATGGGTTAATTAGTAAGATTTATATCACTAAACATTATTATCTAAAACAAAAAGAAATACAGTCTAAATATATACTGGCTTTAAATAACCTGCAAAAAGTTGATAAACAGTAGAAAATGAATGAAAGAATCAATCTCTGTAATGACCACAATTATATTTTTTCTCTTTTATTGCATGACTGTTGTAACCTTGTACTGAATAGAATAATCACACGAAGGTTGGCAATAAAGAACAACGCATATAAGATTCGCCAGCGGCGCGTAGAAGAAGTAGTCAACTGCTAGAAATGAGTCAAGTGAATTTCACAATGAATCTCCAACTGCAGGATAACTACCAACCGCCCCACGTGGTCGGATGTGGCACAAGGCCGAATTTAATTTGGGGTATCCTGCCCGCAGGCTCGGCCAAAAATTCCCTGTAGACCCCGTATAAAATAGGGCCGGGTAGCTGTTTCCCGAGACAAGACTCTGCCCTTCGACATAGGCCCGTCTGGGGATCCTCTCTGCTCGGAGGCAGAGAGTTTGACCAGCACAGCTGGAGAGGAATCACCAACTGCAGACCAACATACAGTATTTACTATTGTATTTATGTGAATGGGGACAACACGAATTATCGTCCGTATGCAACAACAATGACACTCATCGGTTTTCATATTCTGATGCAAAAAATATCTTGTTACAGCTCCTACAACACAATCAAAGAATGTGACAAGCTCAACAAAAACAACAACAACAACAAATAATAATAATAATAATAATAATAATAATAATAATAGTTATGGTTACAAAATAAATAAGAAAATATTCAATCACCTACTCTACATGGATGATCTCAAACTCTTTGCCAAAGACGACAATGAGTTGAAAGGCCTCCTCAATATTGTAAAATACTTCAGTGACGACATAGGTATGGACTTCGGATTAGATAAATGTGCAAAAGTAACTTTCAAGAAAGGTAGAATTACAGAAACACCCTTAATAGATTTAGATTTTGTCACAAAGATTAGGGAACTGGAGCATGGTGAAGCTTATAAGTACCTAGGAATTAGCGAAGGAGATGGCATACAACACCCCCAAATGAAGGAAAAAATAAGAAAAGAATACTACAGGCGTGTACGTCTGGTACTAAATACTGAGCTAAACTCAAAAAACAGGATATCAGCCATAAACACATTGGCTGTCCCTGTGGTGCAATACAGCTTTAATGTCCTTAACTGGACCATAGCTGAAATTAAGCGAATGGACGCCAAAACGAGAAAGCTTCTCACTTGCTATCGCATGCATCATCCCAAAGCTGATGTCGATCGTCTGTATGTGCCCAGATCCGAAGGAGGCAGAGGATTAGTTCAACTAGAACTGCCCTACAAAACTACAACAATTGGCCTCCAAAAATATTTGGAAACTACAGAAGACTGGATGATGGTATGCGTCAAGGAACATGAAAGTAGTAAGCGTCTCTACTCCGTAATGAAAGAAGCCAACAAATTCAAAATGGAGTTCCAAATGGGCGTAGAGATGCAACTACAGCACAATACACCAGCTGAAACTGCAAAATACATAAAAAAGACAGCAAAGACGAATGCAACCGACCAGTTACAGAAGCGATGGCAAGATAAACCGCTTCATAGCCAATACTCTGCCCGTACCAAACAAGCTGACGTAGACAAAACCCGTACCCATCAGTGGCTACGTAGTGCAGGGTTGAAAGCGGAAACTGAAGGTTTTATCCTTGCTGCGCAGGACCAATGCTTGCTAACTAGGAATTATCAAGCACATATACTAAAATATTGTGTCAGTCCAAAATGCAGATTCTGTGATAAATATCCAGAAACGATTGATCATCTTGTATCAGGTTGTACGGTATTGGCACCCACTGAATATAAAACCCAACATGACAGAGTGGGCCAATATCTGCACTGGAAAATCTTCAACTTCTACGAGAAGAAAACTGAAAGAAATTGGTATGAACACCACCCAGACCCGGTTACGGAGATAGGACCTGTTACAATTCTATAGGATTACACAATACACACTTACAGAACAATCAAGGCCAACCACCCAGATATTGTTGTTAAAGACCACAAACAAAAACGGTGCCTCCTTATTGACATGGCAGTCCCTGATGACTGCAATGTATCTTTGAAGATATTCAAAAAGCTGTCAAAATACAAGGACCTTGAAATAGAAATCTCGAAAATGTGGCATATGGGAACATCAACAATCCCTGTTGTAGTTGGAGCCCTAGGACTGGTTGGAAAAGATTGCAGTAGACTAATTGAAGGGATTCCTGGAAGTCCATGCCTCAAGGAGATACAAAAAATTGTTCTGAAAAGTACAGCCCACACCTTACGAAGGGCTTTATCTATGTAATTTTTTTTTTGTCAGTGGAATGTGTCATGACGCCATTTCTAACCTTAGGTCCCTGGGCGGGACCCGGAAAGAAATGTGTAAACGCCAGAAATCAAAGAAAATAAAAATAATAATAATAATAATAATAAAAGAACATAAAACAATCCAGACACTATTAGCTAGAATAATGAATAGATTGCTAGCCTGTCAAGGAGACAATGACCAGATACCATTTTTTTGAAAATAGTAGAAAATCTAATCTGCCATTTAAAATAGAATATGCCTATATATCTTTATCGATCACACATCACGATCTTCACCTTTTTAATAATGATGTATTCCGTTTTTATGGTAACAGGAGTCATAAACTCGATAGCATTATACGAAACGGAATCGCGTTACCATAACAACAGAATATGTAATTAGTATGTAGGGGTGATCAAGCTGCTCATACATATTTTTCCTTTAGTATTTTTTTTTTTTTACTTTTAATGATTAAAGTAGCAGATTTTCTTTTTCCACTCGCTAATAAACATAACTGGAAATATAAAATCCACCATTATTGTTGCAGAAAAAAAATTACAAAATTACTTGAATATATATGTCTTTTTTGGCAAGGTGGTGTGGCACAGTACGGGCCGTACTAATATTTTTTAGTGTATCTTTTATTTTAATGATTTAAAAGGCATAATCCCTTCTTCCAGAGTTATGTGTTTCGATTAATCGACTGATTCTTTTTTTTTACGGCTTATCAACTCTTTATAGGATATTTACAAACAGAAAATATTTTTAGATTGTAAGACTTTGTTTGAGAGATAATAATAATTTACTGATACAAGTCTTACTAACTAAACTACACCTTGTGGTAGATTTAATCTGTAGCCACTTGTATAACGGGGGCACTACTCTGGCGACATGGATATACTTATCTTCTATCAAATGATCTGAGTTGCCGAACAAATTTTATCTAAAAAATTCCGAATTTCCTTCGTACTTCTCAACCTTTTTTAAATGTAGAAAACGGTTTAACGTTGACTTGGAAGTATAATAAAAGAATGTAATGCACCCAACGGTAATTCGAACTCGGCTCCCCGATTAACAATTCCGTTCTATTATCCATTACACCAGCCGCATATCCAAATTTACTGCAGGTATTCTTAAGCGGTTGCCCATCTAGGCACTGACCAGGCTCGACGTTGCTTAACTGTGGTGATTGGACGGAAGCCTTTAAGAGTTTCGATAAACATCCAAGATTACTTATGCAAAAAATATAATCGATGCATTTGCAAGAATTAGTTAAATTCAATCGTCATTTTTTGGCGACACGAGAGAATTAGTAATATTACCGTGAGAGGAAAGGTGATGGCAATAAACTCCGAGATATTAACAAAATCTATCACGCTTCACGCTTTACAATATCTATTGATTACCTGGGAGCATTTTTCGAAATTATTTAATAAAACATAAAATGTTATCAGAAAAAAAAAGAAAGAAAGAAAAAAAATGGCATTGTTGATAGTTTTGGATCTTATCAATTTTCCAGATCTGTGCTTGAATTGATTCTGTTAAGTTTGTATAAGTTTCATGTATCCAGTCGCTGTTTCAAAATTAAACTAACCATATTCACACCAATATGACGAGTTACAGAATGAACGGCATTATTAGATGAGTATGACTCCCAATAGAATAAAAAATAAAGAAAACTGAACGAAAAAAAAATTTAAAGAAAGAATAAAAAAACGCGTTGGCAATGTATTGCACGCAGAAGTGGATGTGCAGAAACGAAATAAATACAGCTTGATAGCCGCCATTTGCAATCGTTCGACCCTCTATCATTTTCGCATTCCTTATTTCCATTCCAACGGCTATATGTATTTTTTGGAAAGAAGGGCGGGAAAGGACATTCCTTCTTTCTGGAACCCTCTTTACATTATTTTCTTCGTTTTTCCCTAACCTTTCTCCCTGTCCTGCTCCGCTCAGCACCCCGCTTCTATATTTTAAGGTTTCCAACTCGACGTGATTATTGTGACCGTAGGTGCTTGTCGCCCGCGGCTCCAGTGTTGGACTAATTATGTGTTATGGCCGATCGAAGCATTTTCGCAAAGGAGGTTGAGAAATGGGACTAGTGAGGTGTCTGCGACTGGGAAGAAAGAGCGAGCGGTGGCATGCTAAACTTTGGTCCACACGCGCGCACGCGCACACTTCCCTGAGGAATGGTAATGGCAAAAGAAGGAGTGGTAGTAGCGACAGAGGACGGGGAAAGACGACAGAATGGCGGAGGTTTGTCTTTGGGAAACTGTAAATGATGATTTTGAAAAATCCACTCCTTTCCCGAAAATAATGCTCCCAGGCACTGTGCCATCCCAGGCAAATTCTTTGGAATCCACAACAATCACATCACAATCAGCACAACCAGCAACAAAGCGACTCCATCAGTAGCATCAGCAGCGGAACAGCGCATTCACAAATGTCGATTATAAATTCAGCCACCCTATTTATTTTGAAATAATATAACTTGTAAA